TCAGCACACGTGGACTGAGAAGCAGCTGAGCCTCTGGACATGGTTATGTTCTGTCCCACGCAAACTAGGTTAGACACTAACTCAACTTGATCATGTCAGCAGCTTTGGACAGGAAAGAAGAATTCTGTCTTCCTTCTCTGGTAACGTTTGGGGCTCGCTGCCTTTGGCAGTGACACTGTGCTCCTGATCGACCACTCCTGAAAGTAACTGGCCTCCTTGTCACTACCAGCCCGGCCTCCCACTCAGGAGCAAGTCTTTATACCAGCCTGTTTGCAATCCTCCAAGACTTAGGGCCAAAATGCTGTCTAAAATTACCTCCCAAACCAGTCAGACACTAAAAAATTCAACTAACTTCTTACATACGACAAAATTACTTTTAGTTTGCTGCTTGTTAGCTCTGCTTGGATTATACCTTCACACACACACGCTGGCTCCTGATGGCATTTCTGCTTTGCATTGTGCTGTGCTCAAAAACTAGTCTTTGAGTGCACCTGGGTCACGCCATCCTGCCCTTTGTCGGGATCCAACTCGGTGCAGGTGGGTTTCTTCCCCAGCGGCTAGCAAGGACAGTCTGCTTGCCCGACCTGCTGTCTCTAGCTCCGGCAGGTCTTAACAAAACAGCACATGTTCTGTTTACAGAAAAGGTGCCGAAGCGTGTCCTGGTCAGACTCCAGAAGTAGGAAGAGAAAGGCAGGGCAAAGGGTACACTTCTCTTTTCTCTGTGTTGGCGATGCCGTAGCCTTTAGCCAGACCACCTGAGAAAGCTGCCTCTCTTCTCTCTGCCCCTTCACAGGCCATAAATAGAAGTGATAAAACATTCACTACTCAAGTTAGCCCGGGTTATCTGTTCCCCTGGAGACTTCTTTCTTTAGAGAGAATGACCTTCATAAGTCACACTTTTCTACCAACACTTCCTCCCCCATGAGTTATAAAATAAAATAGTAATTAACACCCACTCAGCCTGACACCAACTATTTATTTTGTTCTAACTGTGTGGTTTCCATATTATCACTGCCCACCCTGCCGTTAATGGAAATGTTAATAACCAGCGCCAGGTTGTTGTGACAGATGCTTGGGCTCATTATCAGAAATTCTTATTTACCGCTCCATTAAACGACAGAATCGCACAAAAAAACAATTCAATCAAAACTAACTGGAGGAATTTTAACAGCCACATTAATAATCCAAAACATAAATAAAGTTAATGTCTTTTGCATGTTTGCCATCGGCAACTCTATTGCAAAATTATTGCTGTACAATTAAAACGTGAAAGGCAAAATTGAAAATAGCCTTTATCCCAGCGCTCAGTTAAAACTGTTTATTATATTTTTTTTGTTTCCTTTTCAGCGAGATGTAGTGAATGCACGAGGTGACAACGACCATCAGTAAAACACAGCTTGTTCACAGGGGTGCACTCATCTAATCGCTGCCCTGGCTTCTCCACTTCGCCGGAGGAGCGAAGGGAGCAGCAAGCCGGCTGGCTGGCTGCGCTCACTGCAACACAGTGCTGTTCCATTAAGGACTGAAAATCTCAAGATTTTGAGACTTTCACAGCACACATCAGAGTGTGAGGCCAAACTGATCACATAGTGCAAACTTGAAAATACATCTGGGAGATTTGCAGACGATGACATGCTCAGGGAAACAGGAATATGTACAATCACAGACGAAAATGGATCACTTTAGCAATGTATTTTCTTTCTAGGTAGTGACACTGCTGTCTGTCCTGAGCTGACAGCTTCGAAGTGCTCTCAATACCCAGGTCTGAAGCAGCGTCTACAATAGCATTTTTCTTTGGATCCCATGTGCCAGCCTGGAACAATTACCACTTCCGAGATGCGACCATTAGAAGAGCCGGCGTGTGCAGCCTGCTGCCAGAAAGACACCACTTTTCCTCAAACCCTTATTGGAGCCACGTCTAAGAAACACAATGGTTAAAAACTGCCAGTGATCGTTCTCCACTGACACGCTCACTGCTGGAGCTGCACTTTTGCTGGCACGGTGGCAGAAAATTTGATGGGAGGAATAAAAAAATAAATAATAAAAAAAAGATGATGTGGAAAAAGACATTTCTCTTCACTACCCCAGAGCCTCGACGAGATGCAAATTGTTTGGTTTTGTGCCCTGTGAGTCTGTCCCTCTGTTCAACTTTCAAAGGCTGATGTGTCCCTCTTCTTCTAAGCACAGATTTCTTGTTGACAGTATAGGACAGCACAAAAGCGCTGCTGACGCTTGATGTGGCTCTGTGCAGACAGCACGTTACATTAAGGGTGAAATGAATTACTTTAAAAAGAAAGAAACACATCCCTAAAGACTTTACCTGTTTGAAACTCCAAACCATTCACTGAATGTGTGGACAGCATGCGCCAATAAAAACAAGCACATTTTAAAGGTGAATTCAAAAGCCTTTTACCTTCTAGGAATGCAGTTCAAGATTACTGAGCTCTGAATTTTTTTCATGGCTGTTGAAGTCACGAATACATAAAAAAGCAAGGTTAAAGCTGCATACCTCACACTGCTTTAGGTGTTAGTAACACTATCAACTATAACAGGAGCCACACAGACCCCTGAGGGTCCAAAGTCAGCTTTTGGCAGGTGGAAAGCCATTACATTTCATTTTCCCCGAAAAAAAATTGTATGTATTCATGCAGCCTAATTCTGTGCACGTATCCTGCCTTGCAATCTCATGAAGATATTTGTGAACATTTCTTTTATCTGATTTCAATTCACCTTTGAGATCGTCTCCTTGAAACTCTCTCTCTCAGCTAAAAAGTAAGGAGAAAGGCTAAGCAGGTTGTACAATAATTATTAAATAATAACAACTATGGACCAGGATGACGATGGCAGGACTGTGTAAAGACAACAAATCTATCTGGAAAAGCAGCAGGAGAATCAAAACGAGTCCATGAATAAAGTTACACATCTAAATCCACATTTAAACATATCACTGCCCTCATTTTCCAGCTGTACTGAGCAGCCCCTGCTCACGCTGCAGTCAATTTGAGCTTGCAAATGCTTATAACCTTTAAAGAGAAGGTGCTTAAAATCCCCAGTGGCCTGCCCGCACTGGAGCTCCGTGCATTGCAGAAGGTTCACCTTAGTTTTTCTTGCTGCCTGCCTGGGATATTTGCTCTCTGGGCTGTGTAGTACCAAGAGCTTTTCATCAATATGAAGCTACTATTTTCTTAGTGACAGTCGTCACGATGCTCTGTAGCACAGGTAGGCTACAAATCCTTGTGATTCATCGGGTAAACTGAACTGTTTTCATGAAGCATTCCTTACTGCTGTTACATCTGCTCCAATTGCTGGGTAGCAAAGGATTTCTCCTCTACTGATTTTCTAATTGTTTCTGTAATGCCAGTATTATGTCAGAGAATTCACAGACAAGTCTGGGACAAGATTCCCGGATGCTCATGCTATTTCAATAAACATGCAAGCAAAAAAAATGAGGAGAAAAATGCAGTGAAAGAGACCGAAGATTTTCTGTGCGTCAGCTTGATCCCACAGTTTCAAACAATCCCAGGCAAATTTGTGTTTTGTAAAGGCCTCTGATCCTTTTCTATCTAGCCAGCCTTTTCCCCCAGTTCATCAAAGCATGCTTTTGTGAACATGCCTGCTTTTATTCCCTAGTAATCAATATATTTGCATTTTGGTGTTAGCACCTAGAGGCCAGAATCTCATTGCACAATGTGTTGCATAAACACAGAACAAAGAGACAGCTCCAGGCCTAAAAAGCCTCTAATCTGTACGTCTACACATTACAATGGAGGGGCGGTTGCAACAAGTTCTGACATACCAGCTGTGTTCTTATCTACCTAGTGAGTAACAAGAGAGAAGATCCAGCAATACTCAATGTAGTATGTGCTGACAATCCAAGCACGGACACGAAGCACCTCCGAAGTTTACACACTGGTTCCTGGCACACAAAGTCATGGAAAACAGAGCTGGAAAGGATTTGGAGAGGGCTCAGACAAGCCATCCTCTTGCGTCACACCGGGATCAGCTCAGCTGGTTCAGATGTTTGTGTAATCTTGATCACTGACCTCTTTCCAGATTTTCCTGCCATCCCCACACAAATTCTGCCAGCATATCCCTGTTTTAATAACTCTTAAAATAAATCTCACGGTTTTTTTTTTCCTTTTTTATTGTCTAGCCTAAACCATCCTCGCCGTATTGAAGTTCTGTCCCTGCAGTGGCATGGAGAACAGATTGTTTCTTCTCCTGTTGCGCTGCCCTCAAGTTATGGCGTAGATAAGCAACAGTTAAGTGGATTATAAAAGCCAAACACAACACAACAAACAGAAGGTTACGAGATAAAACAGCCAGACTGATCCAGAGAAGGGGCAAAGCAAAACGCAAGGGCTTTTCTTGCAGTATGGGTTTAGAGAAGGAACGCGAGGATGGTCCCTCCCAAGAAAGAACAAAAAGGTGGGTCTGCAGATGTTTGCAGCCGCTCCTGCCACCAAGGAAAGCAGCACGAGAGGAAAATATTCAGTGTTTATTGGCCATTTTCTTACAGCCTCTGCGAAAGAGAGGAGGGAGCGAGGAACGCTTCCCCTGTGCGGCAGTACCTCTGTGCCATCAGGAATGCTGCGTGAGCGATGCTGATTAGTTCAATAACAATTAGTTAATTGTGCTTCAAAAACAGCTACTGCGAAGCTGCTTTCTGCTGTGACAAAGCGGCACAAGCTATATTTAGAACGTAAAAGATGTTTCCCACCAATTTCTGGCTGCTTGAAACTAGGCTACGCTTTGTGTTGGAAGTACGCGCTCTTGCCAAGGACTGCGCTTTCTGGGGTTACTCCAACGTATTTCAGATGCAGTTAGACAGGCAGACCCACGTACAAAGGATGGG